AAGAAACACAAAGCAGACAGAAGGATTTCTAATGAAAATCAAGCCCCTCACCCATCCTGTCTGTTAACAGTCCTTCTTGGAGGTTGTCACTTTGAACTGTTTCAGTTTTCAGTTATGTCAGTGGCCACTTGATAATTTCGGGTAGTATGAACATTGTCTTTGAATTTATCTTATTCTGTTCTTTGCTGTTTTGAGATTTCAATTCTGTGTCCAAGTGGTCCCCTTGACAATTTCTGTGCAGTGTATTCCATGAGCCCATACAAATAGGAGACTCACTTTCTTCAGGTCTGAGAATATTTGATTGTTATTTCTCTAATAATCTCTCATTCTTCATTTTCTCTATTATCCCTTTTAGGAAATCCTATTGGATAATTCCTCCTCATGTCTCCCCTCCCTCTACTCTGTTCCCTTTCTTTCCATTGTTTAGGGATTTTATTTTTTTTCTTCCTGGAAGGTAAACATGGGCTTACCTACCTCTCTGTAGACAGGGTAGCTGGTCCAACTTTTCCATTGCCAGGTATTCAACTAATTCCTTGTTTTGAGTTCTGTGCCTCACACCTGTCCTCTTTCTCCTTGATGGCGATTGTAGGTTTCTTCCACAACAGTCATTTCCCACTTCCACTGCAGTCTTACTCTGCACATACCGGGGCTGTAGCTGTTTGCTGTCAATTGCCTCCCTGGGCCTTCTCTCTTTCAAAATGTATTTATGAGTTTATCTTCTGTGGGTTTCTTTACTTTCACTAACTCCTTAGTCTACTAGTCAGAGTGGGTCACATTATGATGCAGCAACAAACAAACCAACAAACCCTGAAATCTCAGTGGCTTTATACAAACAAGGTGTATTTCTGCCTCACACAAAGTCCAGTTTGATGCTCATTTGGGCAGTTCTTCTGGTCAGTTCTCCTCAAAACTGTGAGCCCTTCACTTCCTTTTTTTCCTGCTTTACTATTCTATTAAGTAGATATATCATATTTTCCTAAAGCATCTCCTGATCATTGGATCTTTAGATCATTCCAGTGTTTTGCTCTTACAAGCATTGCTGCTACAAACTATTTAAAACCATATTTTAAATTTTTCTTCAATTAGAATTTTTCCTTAGAAATGGAATTACTGAATAAAGAGTCTAAAAAATGTTAATGTCCACCAATTTGCTCTCCAGAAGCCTCTTTCAATCTATTCTCCCACAACATTGGGTATTATTGTTATTTTCTAATTCGATTTTGCACTTGAAGAATCTTTATTTAAATATTGAAGCTTTAATTATGCATTGGAAAGAAGATTTCCTTCCTTTTGTAACAAATTACACTTCCTATTTTTATATTGTTTGGTTTTGTCTCTAACAGTTTTTTATTGGAAATTATCAGTTTTTAAAACAAAACTCTTCCTATATTAAGCCTAGTAACCCTTTGGATAACTCATTTTATCACATATGAGAGGCCTGTATAAAAACACACAAACTTGGTTTCAGTTTACTAAGAACTCTGGGTACTCTATCTTTTCTCTTTTTTGTTTTTCTGTAATGGGGGAATGAGCTCTAAACTCACTTTAGAGGACTTACAGTTTCTCTTTTCTCTTCAAGAGGTTATGGACAAAGTTTTCCTAGAAAGTTGGTTTATCAATTTTGCTTAAAGTTAGAGGGGTGAGTATAGAGTATAGTTTATTGGGAGAAGGTGAAGCAACATTTTAGGACTAAGAGAAATGGTGGCATTGGGGCAAGGAGAGTAGCTGGCAGAGAATCAAAGGTGAATCTTTTTAGATATCTGGAAATGAAATGGCTGGGTGTCGGGGTGGAGATGGAGGGGTGTAATGGGGTCAAGTCTCGTGATTGGGAAAATAGTTAAAAGGAATGACAATGAGACTATATTGCAGAGAGATGTCTGCCACAATCAGAGCTTCAGCTAAAGCCACACAGGGGACTTAATGATTGTTAAAAGCATTAAGTAAAGGTGAAACCTTATCAGTTTTTACACTTCACTCTTAATGTGTCAATGACATGTTCCAATTCTTTACTGAGAATGCACTTTGGTAGGAGGAGGGAGCAAACCTACAGTACTTGGGTGGGAATTGGAGAAAACAGTGACAAGGAAAAGGCAGAGAAAGGTGGAAGATCCAAAGGCACATTTCCTCCATTTGGTTGAGTGCGATGCATTCTGGGCAATGAATTGGGCACTACCAGGAAAGGGGAGAATGTAAAGGGCAGGCAATATATGGAGGCTGTTCCCTGAGGAAGTACTGGCGAACATGCCACAGCTTGAGAGAACTAGTTTCTGAGGTAGGTAGGATGCAGAAAACCACAGCAAATGCAAAGGCTGCCCAAGGAGCCATGTGTGTGGAGATGTCTTCCATTTTAGCAGTGAAAGCTGCAGGTATAGGGTTACAGCGGGGTCATCAGGGATGCCTCTGCTGCTGATTCTCTGTGTGTCAAAACTTGCCAAGTCTGCAAAAAAGATCCCAAACAAAAAGATACAGTTGATTTATTCTGTCTAGGTTCAGAGTAGAAGTTTATATAATATATTGGTCAGTGATACTGAAAGAGCCAAAAATATGACAGCAGGGATTAAATGTCAAGCCAGATTTATCTTGTGTGACCATTTCTAGATGATGTAAAATAGCACACTGTCTTTAGTTTGGAAGCATATTAATTTATTTTTATTTTATTTTTACTTGAGGGATAAACTCATGTTGAGGATTCCATTAAAAATGAGTAATTCAATCCAACAACCAGACCTTATGTAGGGTAAGCAAAGAGTGTTTTTCAAAAACTAATTTCTTAATTTTCAATTTCTGGAGATCTCTTAAAGCCATCAGAACTATTACTGCCTAAAACACTAAAACAGGCATGGCAAACAAAAGTGTCTCACTGAATTTCAAATAAAGGGGAATAACAATGTTAAGTGCTGCCTTGTTGGATTTCTTCCTCATTTTTCTGAAGCTCTGGCAACTCTTTATAATTTCTTTTTTATGCACTAAATTGTGGGTATACTCTAGAATGTATCTCATTGTGAAGCAGATATAATACTGGCTGAAACATGTTAAAAATGATTAGAAAATATTGCTTTTAAACAATTGTGACTCACACCAAAAATTTGTATTTAGTAACCTAAATACTCTTATAAAACAGATGATATCCTGTTGTCCTATTTTCTTTTTTTTTCCCATTTATTTATTTTATTGCATTTTAGGTTTTGGGGTACATGTGAAGAACATGCAAGATTGTTGCATAGGTACACACGTGGCAGTGTGATTTGCTGCCTTCCTCCCCATCACCTACATCTGGCATCTCTCCCCTTGCTATCTCTCCCCAGCTCTCCACCCCCCACCATCCCTCCCCTATTTCCCCCCAACTGACCCCAGTGTGTAGTGCTCCCCTCCCTGTGTCCATGTGTTCTCATTGTTCAACACCCACCTATGAGTGAGAACATGCGGTGTTTGATCTTCTGCTCTTCTGTCAGTTTGCTGAGAATGATGGTTTCCAGGTTTATCCATGTCCCTACAAAGGACACAAACTCATCATTTTTGATGGCTGCATAATATTCCATGGTGTATATGTGCCACATTTTCCCTGTCCAGTCTATCATCGATGGGCATTTGGGTTGGTTCCAGGTCTTTGCTATTGTAAACAATGCTGCAACGAACATTCGTGTGCATGTGTCCTTATAGTAGAATGATTTATAATCCTTTGGATGTATACCCAGTAATGGGATTGCTGGGTCAAATGGAATTTCTATTTCTAGGTCCTTGAGGAATCGCCACACTGTCTTCCACAATGGTTGAACTAATTTACCTGTTGTCCTATTTTTAACTGATGCCCTAAAGCTGATTACAAAGCAATAGCTGCCTCCTACATTTCAGGGTCAGGCGGATTAGTGGCCTTCCTGCTGAATTTATTAAGAGGATAGTAGAGTCGGTCACAAAACTCTCAACCCTGGCTCCTACCTTCAAGCTATCCAAAATAAGGTTAGACCTTTGGAAGATGTGTTGGAGAAAGAGAAAGCCATCAAGGTCAACAGTTAGAGGTAGAAGGGTTGTGTCAGCCCAGGAGGTAGTGGCTGTGTGTGTGAGTATATTTGTGCATGTGTGTGTGTGTGTCTGTGTGTGTGCGTGGATGCACACACAGCCAGGGAGGTGGGCAGTACCACTTCAAGATAACTGCTCATAGAGATTTGGCATAGTCTTAAAAAAGAGAGAGAATCTCATTCTCCTTCACATCTGGATGTTTGCTGAGCCACAGAAGAAGCTTGTCAGCTCACCTCCATGCACTGGAGTGGAGCTTATATTTTCTGGGAGCTGCATGGCTCTGGCAAAGGAGTGGCAGCTGCAGGGGCTGTCCTCTCACTGGGAAGAATGACAAGGATGTGAACTTTTCACAGGTAAGCTAGACATTGAGGAGTGAATCCAGGCTGGAGTCGTTGTTATGGGACCTGCCTGTTAAATTAAGTCCAGCCTAAAGCTGCCTCCTTATATATTTTAAGTTCAGCCTCAAGTTTCCCTGTACATAGTGAACTGTAACCTAACTAGATATGTAAATAGACCATAACCTACTCTTTCGCCAATCACTGAGGTTTTGCCAATCAAAGGTGGCCAACTGTTCAAACCATGTTCAAATAAGGCAAACATGGAGCTGAAACCAATTCAGCTGTTTCTCTGCCTCCCTTCCATTTTTGTACATCACTTTCCTTTTTCTGTTTATAAACCTTCTTTTATCATTTGGCATCACTGGAGTCTCTCGGAATCTATTCTAGTTCAGGGGCTGTTTGATTCGCAAGTTGTTCTTTGCTCAATTAAACTCCAAATTGAGTTGGGTGCAGTGGCTCACCCCTATAATCCTAGCACTTGGGCAGGCCAAGTTGAGCAGATCACTTGAGGTCAGGAGTTCCAGACCAGTCTGGCAAACATGGGGAAACCCCATCTCTACTAAAAATAGAAAAATTAGCAGGGCGTGGTGGCTCATGCCTGTAATCCTAGCTACCTGGGAGGCTGATGCACAAGAATCACTTGAACCTGGGAGGCAGAGGTTGCTGTGAGCCAAGATCACGCCACTGCACTCCAGCCTGGGCAACAGAGTGAAACTGTGTCACAAAACAAAACAAGACCCTCCAAATTTAATTTATCTAAGGGTTTTCTTTTAACATGCCTAAGAGGGCAAACTTCATGCCTGAGTTCCCTTAAAAAAGAGTTTAAATCTCATCCACAACTGATGTTCACACCTATTCTGATGCATCTGACTATCTCTAAAACAGACGCTTACACCATGAGAACCTGGTTTGAGGGAAATTAGGAACAGGGTCCCTGGGAGAAAGTTATGCTTAGTGAACAAGGAGTTGGAAAGGATGGGGAAGACCAAGCCTGCAACCCGATGTCAGGACGGCACAGGGGATCTGAGAGAGAAGTGTGCCCTCCTGCCCACACCCGTGTGTTCTGTGTAAGAGGATTGTATGTGAGGAAGAGGCAAAATAATAATGCCACGAGAGCCCCCAACCCTGCTGCCGTGAGTGCCCTCGACTCTTCTGAACAAAAAGGACATTAAGAGCGAAGCTGCTGCCCTGAGATGTTAGCAGGAGAGAGGCAATAATGGCCACCACAAGTTGGAGACCAATGCCTGAGACTCGCAGTGCAGAGAGGGCTGAGGGCCTGGGGTTCCTTGTGGCCATGAGCAGGTCAGCACAGGACGTGGGACCTCAGTAATCCCACAGCAGTGGCACTGAAACCCAGTGACCCCAGCACTGTGTGATGGAGAAAGCAGTTGGAGCACAGGACTGGGCTGGTCAGACAACGGCTCAGCTCTGAACAGGGCACCACTACCACCGTGTCTGCTCTCTTGGAGACTCAGGCACCTTGGGGCTAGGAGCTTGAAGGTAATTCCTGTCTAGTGGATGAGGATCACTCATTCAGCCCACCTGGCCATACAGTGTCAAAGTGCTCTTCTACGGTTCTCAAGCCGCGTGGGACCGTGGGAAGCCCTGGGTTACACTACAAACTCAAGTGTGACTCACCCACCTGCAAGGAGTGTATTTCTTTAGAATGCCTCCGTGATATTCATTACAGACCACCATAGGATCTTGATAAAGAGGACAAGTGTGGCAACTTTCCACATTCAGTGGGCTTTAAAAAAGTTTTGCTCAAACTATTATCTAATACTAAAAACTTTAATATTCATGAAAAAGGTAATATCGAATCAGTCTCTGGCTGAGTAAAAAAAGGAAAAGAAGTGTACCCCCAAATGCTTTGAGGTGTTGCTCTGCTTGCTTCTCTTCTGGAGAACAGTGTCCCACAAGTGAGATTCCTTGTAGAAGCCTTGAAATGGTGCAACAGCTGGTTTTATTGGAAAGAAGGGGTGCCAGTGCATATCAGACACCTCTCCCTGTCCATCAGATAGATTTCCTAGATGGCTGCAGGGTCAGTGTGCAGTCTGTGATAAATGCACTCACATATTGTAACCCAAAGAGAAACATGAAATGACTCCTTTGTCCAGGAGAATTTCAGAGGCCGAAAACTCCATGACCCTCTAACCTCCCAATCCCTTTCCTCTGTGCACTTTCTTTCCTCTTGCCTTGTTTTGTTGAGGGATTCTTTTGTTTTCTGATTCTGCTTCATTTGGCCAGCTCTCTGCGGGTCTTTGGCACCTGGGAAGGTCTGAATGTGGCCTTTGTGTTTGCTGAACTGTGCTGTGCCCAGCCAGGCAGAGATGATCACTAAGCTTTTCTACAGCTTCATAACTGCAAATTGCTCAGCCATTTGTTGTTTAATCCTCACAAACCCTTTGTCCTGGAGGCAGTGCGGCATTCTCATTGCCCTTCATTTTCCAGTTGAGGAGGTGGATAATATGTGACCTGTTCTAGGACACAGGTTGAGTTGAGAATCTGTCTGCTTGGGCCACGGGAGACTTGCAAGTGAACACAATAGCAGTGAAGCCCAACTGGGAAGAGTGAGTTAAACTGGGGTAGGCTGACGTTTGCATCCTTTTGAAGAAATTCTGATGCCCTAATTTGAAGGTGTGAGTTACTGGTTGAAGATCTGTAGGGGGGAATCATGCCACAAAGAGGGCTTGTAAACTCAGATTACTTCTGGGTGGTAGCACTTATAGAGATATAATTTTGAGGCTAGTGCCGTATAGGTTCCTTGACTACTTCAAGTGATCTATCCAGGCAATAATGAGTCCATAAAAGGCTCAGTTCAGCAGCACACAGCCTGTACTCCCGACCTGCCTATTGCGATGGTTTTGTCCCTTCCACTGGACCATGTCATTTCCCCCACCTTTTGGAGGTACCTTTGTTTTCTGCTTCACTAAGAAAATCTAATTCATCAGGCTTTTAGCTTCTTCATTTGCCTTTTCATCTTTTCTAAGCTGTCCTTTTATTAATCCTCTCTCTCCTGTTTTCAAGAAAAAGCAGATCTGTTCTTTTGTCTGGGGGCAATCTTACCTTCTTCCCCTTGGTTGCCTTTTATTTACTTTCTCAATGATCTCCTTCATTATCCCCGGTCCCCTCTTCCTCTCTGGCATATAAAGTCTCCTCTGTTTAATCACTACATGTATGCATTCACGATCCTCCTTTACCTTGATTTCAGGTGATCCTAAAACTGTTTCCAGCTGCCTGAAGATATTCCTCTTGCAAATCTTTTGAACCAGAAGACTCCACCTTTTGTCTCCACTTCTTACCTCCCACCTTCAACTTCTTGTCTGCTCTGACATGACACGCTGTGGATGCTGCACTCACTCTTCTCTGTGTTTGGTCTCCAATGACCTGTGAGTGCACATACACAGGTATTTTTTTCTTGCCTTCACATGTGCTTATTGTATGCAACATTTACCATTGTAGATTATCCCATGCTGTTGGAATCTTTTTCTTATTGAGTCCTATAAATGCAGCCTGTCCTTGTCTCTTTCTGTGCTGGACTGTTCCCTGTGTCCTTCATAAGCCCCTTCAAGCATATCCAGAGGCTCTTTCTTATGTCCCTCAGATAACTTACTTAGGACTTTCTCTAATGATCCACTATTATGACAACACGAGACCCAATTCCCTACTTCTACCTTAAAATACTCTGCTGTGCTCCAACTCCTAATTTCAGACTTGTCACTGGACGTTTCCAAATTGCTGACATGACAGCAGCTGAGGCAAAATGTATCTAAAATGGAATTCATCATCTGTCCTCTAAAACCTGCTTCTTCCTCCTGAGTTCCCATTTCTGTTAATTATGTCACCAAGGGCTAATTCTTAGGGCCACCTTTGATCCCTTCTCTCCTTGTCTCCTATGATCCAATTAAGTCCTGTCATTTCCTCCATCACAGTGTGCCTGGGATGTGTCCTTTGCCCCCACACTGCCGTGGTCCTGGTACACTGCCTCTGACTTGGCCTTCCTCATCTCTATCACTTGCTACCTGGCCTCTCTCTCCCCAGGCTCCCCTCTACAATCCAGGCGTCACATTCTCTACAAGAATTTCCCTACATTTCCTGTTGCAGAGTGATAGTTATTTTGATCACATTCTTTCCTGGCTCAGAAATTAGAAGTAGTTTCTCATTGCTTCTGAAATCAGCTTCAAACCTAGCTGCCTTCAGACTCTCTGCCTGTGGGCCCTGACACGCAGTTCTAGCCCGTTCTCCCGCTTCATGTCCCACAAGACCCTCCTCCATTCAAACTTAAAATCCCTGAAATGCTCCTTGTTTTGGTTTATGGCATTTTCTTCTCCTCTGATGCACTTTGTCTGTTCTCCATCCCCAATACTTCAAAACTCCTATTCTTCATGATCCGTTTCAAATGCTACTTAACTCAAGGGGTCAATTCATATGAGAGAGGAAGGGAGGGAGGGAGGGAAGAAGATCCCTACAGTGTCCTGAACAGCCATTTCATTGACACTCTTAGCCATCCATGTACCTTGTGTCTCTCCATTGCTCTTATAGGCCGTGCTTCTCAACCTCAGCTGTACAATAGAATCACCTGGGGAGCTTCTAAAAAATACCAAAGCTCAGGCTCCATCCCAGCCCAGTGAAATCAAAATCTCTGGCGCCATGACCCAGTTATTCATATTTTTAGGGCTCATAGAGTGACTCCTCTGCGCAGCCAAGGATTAATGTCTACTACTATGTGAATTTTTGTAGATTATTTTTAGTGGTTATGCATTTTTTTTTCTTTTTCCAACTTTGATTCTTGTGGGATTCTTTGTGTTTTAGCCTCCGTGATGTCTAGTACTGTTTTTTGTTTTGTTTTGTTTTGTTTTTCGAGAAGGAGACTCGCTCTGTCACCCAGGCTGGGGTGCAGTGGTGTGATCTCAGCTCACTGCAACCTCCACCTCCCTGGTTCAAGCAATTTCTCTGTCTTAGCCTCCCAAATAGCTGGGATTACAGGCACATGCCACCAAACCTGGTTAATTTTTTTTGTGTTTTTAGTAGAGACTGGGTTTCACCATGTTGGCCAGACTGGTCTAGAACTCTTGACGTCAGGCAATCCGTCTGCCTCTGCCTTCCAAAGTGTTGGGATTACAGACGTGAGCCACCATGCCCGGCCAGCACTGTTTTTTATACTCAGTGGAACTTCAAAGAAAAATAGTGTTAAGATTTAAAAATGGAAAACAAATAAAAAGAGTCGATTTTTAGGGAAGGAATGCCAACTGGCTCAGTGGCTATCCCACACTGGAAATGGTGAACTAAGAGTCCCTTGTATGTTAAATAACTAACTTCGAGTATTTGGTGTAATCCATTTGTATCCAAGCAGTTAATATGCCAGTTAATATTAACATTTGTCTCAAGAGACCTTACTTGCCCATGTAATAATATTAGTTTGGTGCAAAAGTAATTGTGGTTTTTGCCATTAAAAGTAATTGTATGTAGCAATGAATATAATGCTACATACAACTCAAATACCTAGGATGAGTACTCGTTCTACCTCTTGGGTTGTTTTCAAGATTAAACACATAAAACTGGGAGAAAACAAAAACTTTAAAAAGCATAGTTAGATATTATTTTTAATGAAGCTGTATTTTTTTTTCAAGAAACGAATCTCAAAGAGCTTTTGTTCAATGCATTCTCCTTTTTCAGGAACACCGTTGAATACCTTGAGTCAAAAGGAAAGCTTGTGGTGGGCATGTCTGCTTCTCTCCCTATGCTATATTTCTGATAAGAATTTGTGGATATTACAGAGTTTATTTTAGTCTAGGGGATGGAAATGAACTTAAATTCATTTCTACCTCAGGTGAGGCAGCCTCTTTCAGAAAAAAATAGGAAGCAAAGAAGGAAGACTACTGAGAAAATTCTTTTCAATTTAGAAAAGCACAGACTGCCTCTTGGAGAGTGATTTAATGGCCTGGATGTTGTAGCTGTATCGATTCATGCTCAAAGTCTGGCTCAGTTTATCAGCTGTGTTGATCTTGGACAAAGTGCTTGGCCTCTTTGTGCTTTGGTGTCCTCAGCTGTGCATAGGTCTCAGTGTTGGGAGGATCGAGCCATATGATATATGGAATGTAGCTGACACTTAGTAGGACCTAACAGAAGCTCTCTTTTCCTTAAGGCACCAATGGCTATCAATGAGTCCTGTTCTTTCGTGACCTTAGCAGATTTCCTTTTAGTGTTTTTTAGGGTATGCATTTTAATGGTATGTTTGTAAACAGAAATATACAATTTTACTTTGGGTATGAGAGCTTTTCATTATTTTTTGAACCACATAATGATTTTCTTTCTTTCCTCTTCTTTAAATTCATTGAATTTGGAATTCCTTTGCAGTACCTTTGCCATAAATTCTACTCACTACATAAAATTTAAATCAAGCAGGTATAACATAATTGCCCTCATAAGGAGACTGTAGGACTGGGTACTAATTTTGCTTCCAAGAAATTCACGTTGCCATTTGAAAAAATTTCTGAACTGTTTTTCCCATTTGCAGAAGTTTCTGGAAACTCAGACTGAAGAGTCTGCATACTTTGATGGGCTTCTATTTAATGTATTGCCTTGAACATAGATTTCTTGAATGAGTCATGATATTCTCTTATAATCCTCATTCTGGTTACAAGTCCTATGCCATGAATCAAATCTTAGCAAAGAACAGTTTAGAAATCTTGAAAAAGGCCTGACATTTTGTTAAAACAACAGGCAACTGGATTTCTCCTGCCCTTCCTTATCACATTTCCTTTCCCTGTTCAACAACAGTACAATTTGTGTAGTGGTACTTTCAGTCTTACTTCTTTTTCCATACTGAAAGTAATTTTTAAGCATGAAATTGGGTACTTTGTTGCCCCCATACAGAAAGACTTTACAAATTTAGCTGGAATGGGGCTGAAGAGCACATAAAGTTGATGTCCAGGCCTATTTACATTGAAGTAACACTAGATTTATGGATTGAAATGGGAAGCCTAATTTTTATATGCCTCCTTCCTAAAAGCCAGCTATAATCTAGAGGGAAAACTATCTGAGCCAATCTAAGTGAACCCAGCCCATTTCATCTTCTAAGACTGGTTTGTTCATTACTTAGGGGATAAAGGCAGAGACTAGCTCATGGGGATTAAGGATGACAGAGTGACCCTCCAACACTAAGCTTTAAATGTGTTAGCATTTTTAGTGCCCTATCCAGATAGCCTCAGTCTTTCAAAAAAATATTTTTGAAAGAATGATAGGATACATTTTTCTTCCACCTCAATTTAAATTTTCTCAATTTCTATTCACTGTTCAATATTTCCAATTCCTGGGTAACTCATCAATTTTTTTATTATTGTTTCTTTCCTAGCTTCTTCTGTTTCAGAGCTATGTTTCCCCAGTGGGCTACCACATCTTTGGGTTTCCAGTACTTGGAATTTTGCTTCCCAGTTGCAGAGCTAAGAAGCCAATTCACATTCCATTGTTGTCCCAAAGTCTTTTTCCTATTTTGAATACCCCATCTTGTCTGGATGTATCAAGGGGTAAGAAGTATGTATTACTTTGGCTTGAAAAATTCCTTTCTGAGACCCACTCCATTAGAAAACAATAATATTTGAAAGAAATCAGCCAATCCCAATTCCTAGGCCTGAACAGTTCAGATGATTTCAGAATCTTTTTGTGATTGTTTCTCTTCACATAGTGACTGAAACAATTCAGGCTTAAAACACATCCTGATCATTAGTTGGTATTGCAGATGGTAGGATAAGCAATTATGCTGAATTGAATTTTTCCCATCTTATCTATTTCAGGTAAAAGAGTCAGTGTAGAGCATGAGCTCTTAGATGAGATTCTCCAACGTTCCAAGCTTTTCCAATCCAGATGAAGTTTCTATCTGAGCTCCTGGCAAATATTGATATTTCCCCTGTAACCCTGATAGATTTCACCACAGTTCTGATACATATTCCTTGGTTTAATTATGTGCCATAGTTATAGAATTTTGGAAGTAAAGAGAAGCTTAAGGGTATCTAGTTAAATGCCCTCTTCCATAATCTACAGATGAGAGCATGGAGTTTGAATGGAATCTCAGAAAGATGAACTGGGGTATTTTTTACTTTAACTTTCCTCCTAAGAAAATAATCCTTATCTCAGTATTTTCTAAATTAGACCAGCCACATTTTTCTTGCCTTGACATTCTCGGTTACCTTTGGACAAAGTATGTGAGCCAAAATTTAGTAAAATTATAGACAATGATATTGCTATTTAATTCAGACTTTAGCACAATAACTTATCCTAAGTCAAGGCAAAAGAAAACATTGGCGGTATTCAATTACCTTTGATCAGTGCTGTCTACATCGCTTTCCTGATTGATTTCCTGAGAAGCAGTCATTTGGTGTAAATATGCCCTACATCTCACCACTGAAAA